AGTAGTTCTTTTTCAATCTCGGGTACGAAGGCCAGCGTAAAGTCAGCCATGAAGTCTGCCAAGATTTGAGTTTTGATGGTGGTTTGGGGTCGAAACTCAATATCGTACCCACTTATTTCTATATCCCATTTGGCCAATCGACCCGAAAGCTCGGGTTTGTGTAAAATATTTCGAAGATGGTAAGTCGTTACAACACATATCGGATTACATTGAAAATATGATTTTAGTTTCCTAGAGGCGCTTATTAAAGCAAGCGCTAATTTTTCTAAGTGTGGATATCTAGTTTCGGCCTCGCCTAAGGTCCGACTGACATAATAAATAGGGAATTGCGTACCTTGTTCCTCTCGAACCAGGACTCCACTTATAGCTATCTCCGAGACAGCTAAGTACAGGTAAAGATGTTTGTCCACTTTCGGGGTATGAAGCAGCGGCGGGCTCGATAAATACCGCTTTAGTTCCTCCAAGGCCTGCTGGCATTCCGAGTCCATGCAAAGTTGCTCTTCTTCTTAAGTAGTGAGAAACATTGGTGGATCCTATCTGAGGATCTCGAAATGAATCGTCCTAGGGCGGCTAGCCGTCCCGTTAGCCTCTGCATGGCCTTTACATTATCCACTATCGTTATATCCTCGATGGCTTTGATTTTATCGGGGTTGATCTCGATTCCCCGATCGGACACCATGAAACCAAGAAACTTGCCCAAGCCAACCCCGAATGCATATTTTTCGGGGTTGATCTTCATATTGTACTCCCTCAGTATATCGAAAGTTTCCTGCTAATGCTTTAAATGGTCCTCTGCTTGCAGGGACTTAACTAACATGTCATCAATATAAACTTCCATTGATTTTCCTATTTGTTTTTCCAACATTTGGTTTACTAGGGGTTGATAAGTTTCACCAACATTTTTTATACCGAATGGCATTACGTTATAACAGTAGGTACCATACTTAGTGATAAACGATGTCTTTTCCTGGTCCTCCGGGTTCATCTGTATCTGGTTGTACCCGGAGTAGGCATCGAGAAAACTGAGAGTCTCGTGGCCGGCCGTGGCATCGATCATACGATCGATATTAGGCAAAGGAAAATAATCCTTGGGGCATGCTTTATTCAAGTCTTTATAATCTATACACATTCTAAGTTTGTTTCCCTTCTTAGGGACTACCACCACGTTTGCTAGCCATTCATGGTATTTTACTTCTCGAATGGATCCTATTTTAAGAAGTTTGGTTACCTCATCCTTGATGAAGGCATGTTTTGACCTCGGACTGGGGCCTTCTTTTTTGCTTTACCGGATGGAATTTCGGATCCAAGCTTAGTCTAAATGAGTGGTGATTTCCGGTGGGATCCCTGTCATGTGAAGATGGGACCAAGCGAAATAGCTCATGTTAGCTATAAGAAATTGAATATGCTTTTTCCTGAGCTCGGGATTTAACCCCGTGCCCAGGTATACCTTTCGTTCTGGCAGATGTCCGATTAGCATGATTTGCTCCAGCTCTTCGACCGTTGATTTGGTAGCGTCGGAATCATCGGGGACCACTAAAGATCGAGAGATCCCATAATCATCATCTTCGTCAATCTTCTGCTTCTCTAGTTGGGTCTAGGCTGACGTTTGTGATTGCTATTTGGTATCCCATTTTTCCTTCGAATTTGATCCCTTTGTCAGTGAAAGTGACGATATCGAAATCGCTTCATCGACAGAAAACATTTCTTTTGCGGCTGGTTGCTCCCCGTAGACTGCTCTGATTCCATCCAGTGTTGGGAATTGTAGAACCTGGTGAAGGGTAGAGGGTACTGCTCTCATGTTGTGGATCCACAGCCTCCCGAACAGGGCGTTATACCTCATGTCGCCCTCGATCATGTGGAACTTCGTTTCTTGGATGGTCCCGACCATGTTTACTGGCAGAATTATCTCGCCCTTAGTAGTTTCACATGCCATATTGAATCTGTTTAGTACCAGGGTTGCGGGCACGACCTGGTCCTGTAGACCGAGTTGCTCTACGACCCTCGGTAGAATGATGTCAGCCGAACTACCTGGATCAATTAACACACTCATAACTTGAGTTTTATTCATAAGTATAGATATTACCGGTGCATCGTTATGGGGCTGCATGACTCCTTCTGCATCTTTGTCATTAAAGGACAAAGTTCCTTTAGGTATGTAATCCTGAGTTCGAGATCACTTCTCTCCTATAATCGACATCTTAGTGCGTTTAAGTACTGGTCCCTGGGGGACATCGATCCCTCCGATGATCATGTGGATAATGTGTTGTAGCTCTTCTTGTTTATTTTGTCTATTGAATTCTCTGTTTTTGAAATGGTTTTTGGCCCGGTCACTTAAAACTCTCGAAGGTGCCCTTCATTGAATAACCGGGCTACCTCCTCTCTCAACTGCCTGCAATATTTCATTCTATGGCCATGGGTGCCATGATACTAGCATATTTGATTGGGATTTCTCTAGGCTGGATCGGATTGCAGAGGTTGAGGCCATTTAGTGTCTTTGATGCGTCCGATAGCCGACATGATGGCAGATGCATCAATGTTGAAGTTATACTCTGATAACCGCGGTGCTTCCTTAGGTTCGGTATGCCTATCGAAACCATTCTTGTTCATCAGCCCTCGAGACCCTTGGCCTCAGTCATTTCTCCTTTCGCCTCGTACGGAGCTGCATCCTGGTTCGCTACCCTTGTGATCTCTGTTATATGGCCGGTATTGGTCCCTGTTCGACCTCGGTTCTCGGTCGATGTCCTTTTTAATAATGGACCCAGAACCCAACTGGTCGTCTTCGACTCTAATCTTCGATTGATATTAATTGTGTACATCGGCCTAGGTAACAGTCGGGTACTCAATAAAGTTCTGCTTCAACTGTCGTGAAACCATTGAGCTTCGTTCGTTCAGTCCTTGGGTGAAATCTTGAACGGCCCGATCATTCATGACCGGTGGTAGATCCATTCGTTCTATTTGGAAATGAGATTCGAACTCTCTTAGCATCTCTTTATCTTTTTGCCTTACCTTGAAAAGGTCCAACTTCCTGGTCTCGACCTTTATGGCTCCGGCGTGTGCGTTTACAAAAGAATCTGCAAGAATGGCAAAAGAATCGATAGAGTTAGGCGGTAAATTATGATATCGTATCATTGCTCCCTTTGACAGGGTTTTTCCGAATTTCTTTAATAATACGGATTCGATCTCGTCATCCTCTAGATCGTTCCCTTTAATGGCACATGTGTAAGAGGTGACATGTTCATTGGGGTCGGTCGTTCCATTATATTTAGGAATTTCGGGCATGTGGAACTTCTTGGGATCGGTTTGGGAGCTGCGCTCGGGGGGAAGGGCTTTTGTACAAACTTTTTGGAATCCAAACCCTTCAACATTGGTGGTGCCCCCGGGATCTGATCAACCCTGGAGTTATAAGTCTCTACTTTTTTGTCGTTTGCTTCAATCCACTTTTCTCCTGACTCTGTCCGTTTTGTCAGTTCCTCGAGCATCTTCATAATTTTGGGGTTAGTCCCCAATTCTTGTTAATTTGACCTTGCTATAGCTGGACCCGTTTTGTGGGTGATTTCTTAAGGTGGACCGGGCTCGGGCCTGCTCGGTGCCTGGGTTTGGCTCTGCAGCTGAGCTATCGCTACCTGTTGAGCTTGCAACATTTCAAAAATCATGCGCAAGCTGATCCCGTCTTATCCAACATTTTAGGTTTTTCGAACTGCAGATCGAGTTCCACCATGAATGCTATTTGCGGGGGTTGGATTGTTGGTTCGCCTCAATGGCCACATGTGAATTAACGTCAATTGGATCTACGGCCCGAGTTCCAACGGGGTCAACGAGTGGCCTTTCATCCCCGGGCGTCAGGTTGTTATTCTCATCTTGATGGCCAGCTTCGTTGTCGATAGGTAGGGCCATTAATTGAGGGTTCATCATTTTTAACCTAAAATCAAAGATACTTCCAAGAGCAAGTGTAAAATAGTGTGTTTTGCAGAGATTCGTACCAAATAACCACTATTGTCCTTAGCCCCACGGTGGGCGCCAAACTGTTTACCCGAAAAATGGATAGAGTTGAATTTATACATAGTTCTAAGGATACGTGATATAAATTGATACAAATCACGAAAGATATGTAAATGAATATCAAAATTAGTCATAAAAGAAATGAATACAAACCGAATGAACTAGTTGGTCTAAGCCTTCAAGTTTTATCACTTCCAAATTGAGTGAAGAACAATAGATAAAAAAAATAATATGACTATATATCAAAAGCCAAAAAGGATAATATTTGCTCTCTTTGCTATGTATCTCAGAAAGAATAATGTCTGAATGAATCAATGTCCCATTACAAATGATAATCACTCTTAATATAGTGGGAGAATTCCATTTTGGATATAATTAAAAATAGATGGTGGGGATCCCATGATAGATTAATTAATTAGTTTTTTCTTGATTCAAGCCGTGATTTCTGTCGAGATTCTCTTCCCAAATGCGGCTATAACGGCTTTTTTGTTTCTTGGCTCGATCTCGATCTTGGCCGATCTCAACCTTGACCGGTCTCTGGGTCTCGAACTCGACCTTAATTCGATCTCGATCTTGGCCGGTCTCGATATTGGTCGGTCTCTGGGTCTCAAGCTCGATCTTGACTCGATCTCGATATTGATCGGTCTCTGGGGGTTGAGCTCGACAACCTAACTTCGTATCATGGCTCGATATTACAATGATGGACCTTGGACCATCATGTTCCAATCTCAATTAGTCATATGAAGGGCAGACTCGATTTTGACCGTACACAACTATGTTATTAACTTTATGCCTGTGGTGCCTAATTTTTCTCCGCTAATTCATACTCTCCCTTTCTTCCATTTATCTATTTCTTTTTAGTTTCTAGATTCTTCCATTTATCTATTATCTAGATGGCCGGTGCCCGTGCTATGTACCGGCGTAAGCCCGACTTCGCTGTTTGTACCAATATAGATTGCATAAAACTGCATAAAAAGGTTTATTGGGAAAACAATTTCATCTTTGTTTCTTAATATTAATCTGATCAAATATTTATATTGATAACGTATCAACACGTCTTACTAAATACATCCAATTAAGAATCCAAAAAATTATGACACATGTATTTGCAACATAGTCCAATGTTTATCTTACTCTCATTATTCAACTTGCTTCCACAAAAAGGCCTACGGACATACTTCACTGGGAAAAACATCCCTTTTGAATGTCCTTCGAGGTTATAAGCCATCTTTTTGGAATATCTCCCTGTGGAGGAAGATACTAAACTGTGAAGAAACTGAAACAACATAACCATGCTTTTGTTAAGCTCATTTAAGCAAAAGAGAAAAAAGACAGATATTAAAATCTAAAAAGAACATTAAGAACAAATGAAACCACCTCATCTTGTTGGCCAAACAAAGAGAACATTATTCATTTATACGCATACCACTTCCTGTTTGGACATGTATGCCAAATATTTTTATTGCAAAAAAAACAAATGCATATGCAACTTTTATCTAATAAGCATAATTCCTCAATTTCACAAATAACAACATCTGTTTCATATTGTTTTAGATAGTAACTTACTACCGCTATTCCAAATAATTATAAGTTAGTGCGGAACAATCAAACATTAGTATGGTATAAACCACAAATATGGTGGGCAAAAGATAATTAGCTACTGCAGTCTATGAAATGCATGATCATGTAAATTGGAGAATGATATGCAATGTTGGACTGGCCAACACAGTTGATTTTTGCACTTGAAATATCTCAAGTGGACTAATAATTATGGGATTGTCTGCTGATAGTTTTGGGCTTGAGTCTCAATCCTTGCAGACAAATGATATCTGAACTTTGAATTCAACCGATACGTCTTGTTCCTAGAATTGGACTGTTATTTTTCTATTATTTGCAAACATATTTGAGTTATAACTCTTGCAATTTATATGTTAAGCGACTGCGCTACATTCAAAGAAGACTAATATAGGTTTTCTTGGAAATCTTTTTATGATCATGTGCTAAATATAGTAACTTCTTAAGACAAATAATTCTTCATATTCTATACAACTCAGCTCATAAAGATGTTTGATAGAAGTTCAACTTTTTCTGTAACATTACCTTTTATCATTTTATATCTTGTTCTTACTTAACAATCAGCAATATTCTCCAATCAAATGGCATGGAAGATAAAATTACGTTAAATTACCTCAAAAGAATGTCCTCATGTGGAAAATTAGCATATATTAGATGCAATCTTGTATTGTCCTTATAGTTTTGAAGAACAGCTGTAGCAACCTGGACAGAAACAGAAATGAGTTATGACCTATACCATACTCAATTTTCAGGTCACAACAAATTATGACAATATTTTTCTACCACCCCTTTACAACCTGGAAAATATAATTTATTCATAAACTTAGCGAGAAACTCGTATATCATCCAATCAGTTTCAAATTTCACAGAACACTAAGAAAAATGTCGAAGTTATCCTGTATCTAAATCTTAGATATGAAACTATAACACAGTGGAAAATTATGGCATGTTCTGTCTTTTTAGCTATTGACAAAATCAAAATTAGTTACTCTGAACTATGTAGATGTATTAGATGTAGAAAAACTTACCCAATTTGCATAGTTTCTAATCGGTATGAAGCTTCCAAACTGAGCCAAAACAAATAAAAGAGCTGCCATCTTCCACCCACAAGTTTTATAAGGTTGAGAAAATAAATTGAAGTGAGATGAAAAAATTGACCGGAAAAACTAAGCAAGCAAAAATATCTTGATTTCTTGCATGTGCGGCTAAAAAGTCTAAGGTGCCCACCTTTAAAATGAGCGAATACATATTTAGCACATGTACTTTAATAGGATAATGTCATGTATAAAAACCTCTGACGAAAATACACTACTTATTTTTATTTAAATATCATGTCCTGAACTTAAATATTAAATTTTACAAACTATAATTGAAAATTAACCCTCTAAACGGAATTCCATTTTAAAAGACAAATTAATCCATAAACACACATCATGTGTCTCCCCAAGAATGCACTATCAACGCATACATTATATGGTAACTAAAGAAGATTATATAAGTGAAATCGTCAGGATATAAGGAATCAATCTCGCATCAGATCTAGAGTCTGTTATGATGTGCTTGTTTTAAGTGACTTTTAAGTGAAAAACCATAAGTTAGGAATTTTAGCTTTTGATTTTTGGCTTATTTTTGTTATTTTAGCTTAAAAACAAGTGTTTAAAAGCACTTTTTTATTTTATTCAAATACTACAAAATAGCTTAAAAACTATTTTGACTTAAAAATACTTAAAATAAGTCAATCCAAACGGGCTCCGAATGTAGGAGGCTTGAACCAACTTCCAGTGAACGTGCTATATAGAGAATGCTATAGAGGCTGCGCGCTTGCAAGAGTTTGATTCTGAGCCATATATTTTTGGTCCTAACATTACGAAGGTATTCTCTGCTACCATATGGTGAAACTGTACCATTTGCTTTCCCTTTCTGTTCATAAGCGGATCTAATATATCCGATTGCAGATTTAAACTATTTGCATCCACTTTGTGCCTTTTTCTGTTTCGTAGAATTGACATTTATAATTTGTTTTTCGTTGAACTATCTCCGACTTGGATAATAGATTGATGTCACAACTCGCACTTTGGAGTGGTGATTTCGGCTAAGAACTGGTGAGAAAAGGTCCTTCTGATGGTCTGACGTAGAACTGTCTACTCGGGCAACTTGGGCTTTTCAATTTTAAGCATATATAAGGGGGGTATAGGTGATGAAAGCTCCGACCTGCCTCCCCCATACGTGCTGCCACCGAGTCGTATAGAACGAGCTACCTTGGGGCAACCTCAAAGGCCTGCCTAGATGACTCAAAGGAGTGTCAAAGGTACCCATACGAGTTAGGGAAACTCTATGGGCGGCGCGATGCCTTCGGGCTAGCGTTGGGCATCAAAGTGGTGCTGGAGGCTCGATGTGTGGGACGGCCAGCCGCGCGGGCTACCGAATGTTGGAACGAGACCTCCGTGCCGATTGGATACTTGACGCACCCGTCATAGGGGCATCATGTGTAGACTTGTGAGCATGGCTTAGGTTCAACCATGCAAGCAAGGGTCCGTTGGCCTAAAGGTGCAGTTGTGGGGCGACACTGCACTATTCGGGATGGAAGCGTGTCGCGAGGGCAATGTATGGGCATGGCACGAAAGACGCGCATGACAATGGCCAAGGGCTAAAGGTTGCCTTACTCGGGCGAGGTACGAGCTAGTCGCGGATGCACTAGGCGAGTGTCAAGCTTGAGGATTGGGCTGTGCACGCGGGAGCGATGCTCAGTCTTGGGCGAGGGACAAGACATGTCCTAAGCCAATCCCCCAGGGCGCGCATGGATTGTGATCCTAAGATGAAGCGCCACGACATGTCTAGGGCCAAGGGCCTAGACATCTTACGGGCGGCACAAGTTGGGGCGAGCCTACGGGCGAGTCCCACCGACAGGCACAGGATCGTGCTTGAGAAATCCTGGGACAGGAAGAAGGCTGGCCTGCAGCGAGGGGAACTGCAGGCGCCGCACGGGCGAGCAGGTGCCGCTACCCAATGTAAGGATTTGGGCCCGTGACACTTGGTATCAGAGCTGATTAAGGCCATACTATGCCATGGCACAATGTCAAGGCAAAGGGTGGATATGGCGAGCGCATTTTGGATGTCAGTGCAGAGATCACGTCAAAGCAGAGATTGATGTTCATATGCCACCAGAGATCGAGAACCCGATACTGATGGTCGAAGAAAGAAATGGGTGATTCCATTGTCTTTCGAGAGTCTAAGGTGCTACTGAATGAGGTGATATGCCGATGAGTCGGATGGCCAAGAGAAAGCCATGTTTGCCAGGTCGTGCAACCATATTGCGAAGAGTGGGAGCCATGGACTATAAACTTGGGCATGATCATAGCGGAGATCTTGCCAAGGATGCGTGCAACGCATCAAGTTGAGTGTCTTTCCTTCAGGACAGACTTGTGAGCTGCCTGAGGGCATTGCCAAGGTGAGGAAACGGATTCGAGGGTATAGTGAAACTTCGAAACTGGGCGGATTTCCAAGTTAGAAGGTGTCATTCTGGAAAGAAGTACGTCGAATGATCGGGGACCGTGAGTGTCCAGGTGCGAGGCACACCAAACCGGGAAGCCGTGCTAGCAGGGCCAAGAGGGTGCCTGTCTATAGGGCGAGTATTGAAGTACTACCGGGAGCATTGGCTACTTGCTGAGGAAGTAACAGTTGGAAAACAAAGAGCTTTGTTCGGGAATGCGGCGATGCTATGACTTTGGGAATGTAGTAGTCACCAAAGGTCGTCCCAAGAGCTGGCCGAATGCCAAGTGGGACGACAGTGCTAAGATGTATCCTCCACATTGAGTGTGGGAGGATCCTGCCTATGCAAGAGGCATATGGGCGAAGTTGTGAGTCTGGAAGCGAACACATCTTCAAGGTAGTGAGGGCAACTAAAAGCTACGGGAGCGGAATGCTACGTGAGCTATGCCAAGAGGGCGTCTTAATGCTACGGGA